TCCCCACTACTCGCTATTAGAAAATGGGTCGTCGTAGGGCCAAAGTAAAGACATGGACAAACACACAAACACACACAATCAACAAAGCTGAGTACATAAGTGTAATTAAACACACTAACATGATTTCACCTATTAACACACACTTACCTCATTGCACCTGTATACAAGCGCACACAACAATCAACAAGACACATTAACTAGACACTAAATAATTCATTTAGCGTGATTACGCATCGAACGTGTTTCCAACTATACCTCCCCTAATAAATTGAGGTTAATTGACGCGGGAGCTAACCGTGCCAGCAACAAAACCACTCAAAGGTGGCGGAATTCCTGCGCATAATGATAAATAAAAAGGAATGTACAGCGTCCTGTACTCCATTACAAGTTACGGTTAAATATAAAACCCCTTAACTCCCCTCATTGTTCATACTCAAGGTATATACGTTCCAAGAGTTTTGGTGCGTAATTTCTTTCACTTTACGTTATTTACGTGTTATTGGACTTGGTGATGACTATCAAAGCATAATAAATCAATCAACAATAATTATTCAATCAACCAAACATACCAATTTAATTCATGAATAATTAGTGATAATATATTATTTAATGTTGAACCCCTTTTAATTCTACCTCAGTGTCAAAGACACCTTAAACGCATAAAGCGCCAAAAATCCTATCCCTCGATGTTAAAAACACCTTAAGTGCACAAAGGCAGCAACATACAATTTATTCCTCGTGTACATAGACACTTATATAGCTCCTTCCTCATGCTTAAATCATCAATAAAAAATTATATGAACCATAATAAAATTCCTTTACAATATTCCAAGCCAAATTAAACATGTAGTTTAATTAAACATGCACTTTAACATGTTATAATTAAAAGTATAGTCCATATAATCATTCCAAAATCTAATTTTCAAATCCATAGACCATCACAAATAATTCATGCTTCACAATTCAATCACCAACACCAATACTTCACAATTCCATACGTAAACCTTAGCATGATACTACTTGTAATTGATTGAAATCAAGCCTAGCATGATTCTACATCATTAAAATATGCTAAGTACGCGAACGTACCTCAAATAAGCCCTTAAAGTAGCCGATTACACTACAACAATTCCCGAATTAAATCTCCTACATAAAGGGACAATAATACTATATTAATTCTCCTTGTATACACAATTTTCAGCAACTTAAATTTACTTTAGACTACTTAAAATAATCTGAAACTTATTTAAAAACCCTAATTAAACTCATTTTTAATGGGTAATCACACCCTTTTATTAAAATCACAATTATACTACTTTAAATAAAATTCCAGCATTTTAAATTAATCAAAAACCCTTTAAAACTTCATCAAAATACATCTTTATACTTAAATTATCCATAGAAACATTAAATTATCTCTTACCCCTTTTTAACTCAAGGATAAAATTTAAAGCATAAAAAAAAACTTCGTTCAAAATAAAAAACTGCCCGAAAATCATATTTAGAGGCTGAATTTAACCACGAGAGGATGGTGATCACTACCAAATGTAGTGAGTCTTTCTTAAAACGTTGTTTCTACATGGAAAACACTACTTTTTTTTATCAAAATCGGACGAGTTTAGAACCTGATCGGGATTAAAACGGGATTAATATTAACGAACGGAAATCTAATTATTAAAACATGAATTTACGTGTTCAAAATAATCTAGAATTAAGTTAAACTAATCAGTAGTTATAATCACCAAAATTTCAAAACATCATTACTATAAAAGCTCTAAATCAATTGTTCATAAAAACCCTAAAATCATGATTTTCAATAATTAAAAACCCTAGGTTATAAAATTTACAAAATCTGAAAATTATGACATTTATAATATCTGAAATTATAAAGTTTAATCATCAAAATACAATTTGATACTAATTAAATTAATTTCAAACAATAAAATCAAAACCCATAAATCAATAATTATAATTACACAAATTAATAAAACAAAGGAGAGAGAAAATAAGACTAACCTTTTTGTGTGGGAAATTTTTTGGGGATTCATGGGGTATTTATAGAGTAGAGAGTGTAGGGTTAAATTTGGGCTTATAAAAATATGGACTTCAGTTATGGGATAGGGCTTAAGTTTTGGGTTTTGGAATGGGTTATTCCAATAAGAGTATGTAGGAATAATTTACATTTCCCAATAATTAATAAACGTTTGGCCCAAAACATATTTTACTTTTATAAAACTTTATATTTAAAATACTTTAACCCTTTAAAATATTTAATTAAAATACTTGAGCCCTTGACAATACATTTTATTAATACTTAAATACTTTATAAATAGATAAAAATACGGGGTATTACATGTCGCGCGCAAATGGAAGAGTTGCGCGCGGATGTCACGCGCAACAGATTTTGTTGTGCACGACAGGTTTGTGCTACTACAGACGTTGCGCGCGCCACCTGATGACGAACTGCGAACCCGAATTTTTACGTATGAATGAAGTTGCGATTTTTACTTACGGCAAAAAGAGGGTGTTTCTTAAATATAACATATGCTCGGAAAATAAAATTAAACTTTGATTTAATTATTTTAAATAAGGTTTGATTAATTTTTCATTTAATTTCTATCTAAGAGATTACAGAAAAATAAAAATACATAATAAAAAAAAACACATTATAACTACGCAAAGACCTGATTTCGTAATGCGAATACGTAGGAAATCTTTATGATTCGGTCATATCAAAATATAAAAATATAAGGTTCATTTTTATTTCATTCAAATTTCAAAAGAAAGACATTGTTGAACTAGATAGTAAACGAAAAAAAAAAACATAGTAGTGATTACACTTTATTCGAAATAAACTAATGATAAAATTATGTAACACTCTAAGGTTTTACTATGTCCTCCATTGACACAGATGATGGGGGAGTAGTTTCCATCACAGTATTTTCAGAAGCCTTAGAGCTCTCCCCTACACTCTTCTTTTTCACCCAAACATTGTTCTTCAATTTAGGGATTGGGGCCTTTGCAACTTGTTTTCCTTTCCGTTTGACTATTGGAGCTTTCTTGCGAGTATTTGGTGAAGGTTCTTTGATTTTCACACCTTGTTGCGCGGGTTTGGAGGGAGCTTTCCTTTTTGTTTCCTTCGAACAAGCCTTAGGGGATGAGAAGTCTAATTTTCTTCTCACTCCTTTGTTTTGGCCACTATGAGGAGTAGTAGTGGTTGAATGCATCAAAGACTTAGGTGGATTACGAGCGGCGGCGGCTAAAAAGTTGAGATATAGCCTTGTTTAATTCACCCTTATCCGCCGCATTCATCCAAGCCTTGTAAAACGAAGATAATGTAATGCTCGCGGTAGGATTTTTTATTACCCACCTAGGAAAACTTGACCAATATTCCATCCAACGAGGAATTCTTTCGGGTTCAAAGATCACATCTTTAGGGGGATCACAATCTTGCGGGGGAATAAATTGTCTAATCCCGTATTTTCTCATTACCCTACAAGGAAAAATATAAGTAGTACTAGATAGGCCTAAAAGCCTAATATAAGGGCAATTGAGACTATTCCCAATCATACTATTTATATTCCACCAAGGAATCACAAAACGTATGTTAGGAACCCCATGACAGAAAAACAACGTCCATTTCTCTTCGTTTTTATGCTTATAAAGGATTCGGCGTCCAGTGAATGTCTTTAATCCATTAGCCTCAAGGTTTTGTGGCTGATCAACAATTCGCAAGCGCTCCATAAGCCAAATCTGAAAAAAAAAGAAAGAAAAAAAAATCAGTTTGCGATTTTTTACACAAGCAGGTGGCGCGCGCAGCAAAGAAGATTGCGCTAGTCATGCCAGCGCAACTTCGTGACTTGCGCTGATAAACGCCGAAACCGTTTTCGTTAGGATCTCCTCTAAGGCGATTCAAGCATAGAACGATTTCCTCCGTATTCTTTGCTTGTCCTAAGTAAATAAACAATTAACAACAAGACAATAACATAAAGCACGAATTTTAAAGCGTTGTTTAGTCATGTTGTCACGAGAGGCGACAAAATGTTCAATAAATTGAATGAAGTTCACGCCTTCTTCAGTTCCAATATTGGTCATATCATTGTCGGACAAGCCAAAAATTCTTAGGAATTTAGGTTTGGAATCCGACGAGGTAGGCGAATAAGTCACAAGGAGAGTGTTTGTAGGGAAACCTAGAAAGGCCTCAAACTCACCGAGAAGGGGGACAATTTCGTCCCCTTTGAACAAGAAAAGATGGTGGTTAGAGTCCCAATGGTTGATTGCGGCATGACGAAAATCAAAGTTAACCACTAGTTGCATATAATTCAATAGAGGGTCTAGGCGGTAAATTTTGAAAGCTAGTTTGTTCTCGGTTGAAAGGGGAAGTGACCCATTGCTTCAAACGTTGTTCAAAGGTCTTCACCATTGTTCAAAAAAAGAGAGAACAAGAATTTAGAGAGATTAATTCTTTTTAGTTTCTTATATTACTAAGCGAATGAATGCGAGATGATCAAAAGCCTACACGAAACCACGTTTAAATAGACCCAAGAGGGGCAAATTTTCGGCAAATTCGGCTTAAAGGAAAGTACACCAAAAGGTGGCGCGCGCAATTCATGAGTTGCGCGCGACATCCGCGCGCAACTAATTCACGTGCGCGCGATAGCTACGCGCAACTCACGCAGTTGCGCGCGTCTTCCCTGACGCGGCATGTGAGTTGGATTTATTTCCGTATTTTGGCTCATATAATGACGGAATCTTCACGAAATTTTAAGACGAAACATATGTTTGCCAACTAACACTTTGTGTCCTTTTTCTTGCCTTATTTCTTATTTTCATTTTATTTTCTTTTTTATTTTTATTTTCCTACTTTCTTTTACTTTTTAATTTTTTTATTTTCTAATTTATTTTTCCTACTCCCTTATTTTTTTTTTATCATTTTCTTATTTTCTTATTTTCTCTTTTCTTTTCTTTTCGCCTTCTTTTTTCGAGTTTTGGTTATTTTTTCGAGGGGGTTAAGTCGGGAACCCTTTCCCCCCCTCGAAATTTTTTAGCTAATGATAATAAAGTACATATGGAAACAAAAAAATATAATAATGTGTCATATGTACAAAAATGCAAAAAAATATATACATCAGTTTCCTAAAAAATAACAAAATGTGTACAAAAGGAATCAGGGTGCTCGGCGACAACTAGACGATTGCTGCACATCCTGCAAAATCCAGAACGAAGTTTAAAACATGAAATGTAATAACATCGTTGAAAGAAAAGAATTAAAACTTACCGCGATCATCTGGTGATCACGGCATGATAAAGTCACGAGGTCTCTCCGATAAGCAGCTCGGAAAGCACGTAAAGTCCTCACCATGTCGTTCACTGTTTCCTGCGGAACCTGTTCCAAGAATACAAGGACAGTTAGTAAACAAATATATATGAAACAAAAAAATAAATAGAAATATTTAAGTACATATACACAAAAGACATACCGACTCAACCGTCTCAGGTACAAACGGTATCCCCTCGTCATCCTCTGCTGCTGGAAGGGTCTCACGAATTACCGATTCGACAATATCGGTATACGTGATCTTCGCTGTAGGAGGAACCCAACCACCTAGCTCGACCCGCTAAAATATATATGACAAAAAAACAATAAAAGGATCAAAGTTCCGAAAAATAAATAGAAACACGGAAAAAAAAGAGTTAGAGTACTAATCGGAACAAAAGCCGGAAAAGGAGTCAGCCTGGATGCTATAAAAGCCGGATAAGAAACCTCCGGCAGCACCAGCTGCTCCGCTGGATAACCAAGGATCGCCTGAGCTCGATCCTCGGTAGACAGCAAGTCCGGACGTAGCATCCGGATCGGAGGATCCGCAGGAACCAAAGGCTCCTCGGACGAAAGCTGCCAGAGAACACGCTCGCCTAAAAACAAAGCGTATGTCCACTGGAACACCGAGAGTCCCGTAAAGAGGGCCCGAAAACGGCAATAAACCATGCCAGAATGGATAACCTCAGGGACTCCGACGATCAAACTCCAAGGACGGAGATCGATCTATAAAACACAACCACTTGAAAAATCATCAAAAAATAAATAAAATCAAAGAATGCACATGTAGTTGGAATACTCACCGACGCACAAGTCGCCGAAAGGATCCTCTGGCGAAAATCGCTAGCAGAAGTGGCTCGTCTCTTCTTAATCGCAACAAATCGATGGCCGATAGGAAAACGAGCAGCCCCAAGCACTCTGGAGGCTAAGAAAGGCAGGTACGAGTATCCCCAAGCCTAAAACCGAAAAAAAAATAAGCCTAAAGGAAAAGGCGAAAGTATTAACCGAAAGAAGCTTAAAACACGTACCTCAAGGATACGACCATGCCACGTAAGCGAGATCCGAGGCACCTCAGTAGCTGCCGTGGAATCCATCACCCGGGTCTCCTTGCCCATAGGTGTAAGAATACGGGCATACGACACCTCCTCCCAACTCTAGTCACCTACTTGCCCCAAATCACTGAGGCAAATAAGTAACCCAATGGCTAAACGCTCTACCCAATCACTCAGGATGGTGACGGAAAGAACGAGGGCAATGTATGTCCAAGCCAGCTGCTCAGGTGTACACTGCCGATCAAGCTCGTCAGCCGACAACTCGTCGGCAAGAACCGAGTAAGGACAAGACTGCGCCTACATGTGAAGGGCCGACGCAAGACGGTCCCCCACAAGGTCGCGTAATATCTCGTCTGACCCCTTAACGAACTCTATAACTACGGGCTCACCTCCGAAAGGAAAACCCATAATCATAGAGAAATCGAAAGGGGTAACCGTCATCTCTCCCCATGGAAAGTGAAAAGTGTTGGTGGAATCCCACCAAATCTCCAGCAATTCACGGAGGAAAGCTGACGATGCAGGCTGACTCGATAAATCCTGAAGAGCCGCTAGCTGGGAGTCAATCTCGGAAAGTGCTACAATCTCCTTTGCCACCTCGGGCAAACTCTCAAAACGGGCTCGCAGGTCACCAGAGCCGTATAAACGCATGCTAGGCTCGCTCCAAATAAAAGAATAAAAAAAAAGGTTATGGTTTAAAAAAGAGAAGTAAAGGAAGAGAGAAAGAAACAAAGGCACGAAAAACTCACGATGCCGCGCCACCCTCTAATCGAAACGTGATGGTCTGGGTCCCACTTAAGGACCCTAGGGTCCCAGTTGGGAGGAGCCTCCCAAACCACATCCTCCTGGCGACGTCGATCGGTCGCGACACATCGCTCTCGAACCTCCGAGGGCGAACTGCCTCGTCCGGACAACCGAGAATCTCCTCAGCATCGACAAATGGAGGCGGGTCCATGCTATGATGGATAAAGTTTCTTTAATTAGTTTACTTTATTTCCTAAACTAAAATAATATACGTATTCTAGACCCATTTTGGCAACATAACGGCTGTCGATAGGGAAAAACACAAAAATCGAATGCCACCTGTACTTGGGGGCTACGATACCTGCAATTAAACTCAGTAAATGGGGACTTCAAACACCCACAAAAGCCATCCTAACCAGTTTCAACTAAGTATTCAAGGGATTGTATTCCAAAATCTCAAAGAATCAACTACTTTTAGGCGAATAATAGTAATATAAATACAATTATCATCTACCAAACAATTTTGAAGTTCGAATATGGCAAAAATAAGCTAAGAGTAAGTTTCACGCCATTTTTCAACAATTCAAAATTCACAAAAATGAATTATGAAAGTAATATTAGTTCCATCACTATAATATACTTCATAATCAGCCATTATAACCAAAATGAGCAAGAAAAAGCAATAAATTCAAGCAAAATTTGAAAAAAAAAAAAAAGAACGAACTTGAATAAAGAAATGCTCATACAAGGTTCAATACTTAACAATTTTTCATGAAATTTGTCGCAAAACACTCCTTAAACATAGCATGACAACATAGAACAAACAATTTCAAGAATAATGGACTGAATTGAAAACCCCCGAATTCAAAATTTGGGGTTTAACGATTCAAAAATCGTTCGAATTCAGCCAAAAAAGAACAAATTCTAGCAAAAAACTTACATTAGATTATGGAAAATATGAATTAAGGATAAAATTTTCTTCCTTTAGCTTTAAAAATCGCAAAAAACCGAGCTTCCTAGAGAGAGAGGGTCGAAAATGGCGAATGAAGGAGAAAGAAAGAGTGAAGTGAAAAATTGTGTTTGCGATTTTCACTTTACTGACATAAATGTCGCGTGCAATTGAATTTGTTGCGCGTGACATACCAGTGCAACTCAGAACGATGCGCGCGCCTGGCTAGCGCGACTCTTTGAGTTGCGCGCGGATACTGGTCACTAAAAGACCGGGATTTTGATTTTGATCCGTTTGATCATTTTTTGAACGGGTTTTGCTCGTTATTAGGCGTAATGGCGCGCAAATTATCAAAATCTTTTTGTTTTGTATATTGTAGTTTGTTTTCTTTTTTGTTAGATTTTTGCATCATATTGCAAGCACACCGTGCTTTGTGCCTTCCCCAAGCATACGTTTAGAACGTTTTTCGTAAGAGTGCTTAAGACGTTCTGTGGTGGTGCTTTACGTAAAATCACCCATAGACAGGTTTGTCATTTTACTGTACTGACGTTACATATGTCCAGGTTTTCTTTTTTTTTTCACGTCTGAAGCAAAAAGGAAGGCGTTTTCATGCAGCGTAAAAATGCAAATGGCGTATCGTACGACGCAAAATTGTACGGCGTAGGTGTTGCGTAAAATTTCACTCGGCCCAAGCTTTGCGAGATCTACCTCTCGGGACTAAAAGGTGGAGAATTACTGTAGGCGTTAGCTCACGAGTCGACAGGCGCACCGAACCTTAAGGATCAGGCACTTCTTGAATTGGAGCAAATACAGAAGTTAGTGCGCTTACTAACTTACCGGAAAGTTAGGGTGTCGAAATCATCCCCTGTACAAAGTCGCGCCTATGTAGTCACGTGCCCCCAGTCCCGAGACACGTGTACTCATCTTGTGGACGAAACTGCTGAGAGAGTTGTTGACTTTCTTCCCTCTCACTGAATTTGTATATATGCCTCCAGTCCTGAGACATGTATTTCTATCTTGTGGACTTCCAACTCGAATACCGAACCCGGCTCGAATACAAGACCATTTCGGCTCTAATACTGAAAACCCTTTTTCATCTTTTTACTTTGTTAAAGTCAGGCTAAAGTTTCAATGACATATCGAGGGACTTTAGACCAACGATGATACGATTGAGAGGAAATCTTCCCCTTTCGTCCTTTTAAAACCGATCTCTTCTCATGACTTGACATCACCCAGAACACCTTTACTTGTAAAAGCGTTCTACAATTGCAAAGGATAAATTTAAATTCTTTAGCGTGTTAAGAATAGGAAAAACTTTTTCTAGCCTTAATAGCTACTTGTTTCAAACACTTAGCAAACCAGGGATCGTTTCGACATCCTTAAACATTACTGAAAGATTCTTTATCCTTAGGGAACTTCACAGAATGAGTCTCGAATTTATTTCCTTGACTACTTTGATCATCGTCTATTCTAGACTCGATCAAAGTGGGGGCTAACTGTAGGCATCTACTTTTGGCCTCCTGTCCCTACAGGAAGTGCAATGACGATAAATAAAACCATCTTCGTGTTGGATCAAAGTCAAGAATACTTATGGATAACTAGTTAAGCCACAAAACACAAAAGACTAGCCCAAATTAAAGAAAAAGCCAAAACAAAGGTCCAATTAACTAAACCCGATCATAATTAAGCTTAAGCCCGTGCTTAAAACCTAATAATGACGAATTTAGGAGCGCCTAGATTAAATCTTAGTGCTGCCGTAGAAAAAACTGCGCGCATCTCAAAGAGTCGCGCTGGGCTGCCGCGCGCAACTAATTTAGTTGCGCGCAACACCCAATGTAACCCCCAGAGTTGCGCTGCGGAAGATTCAGAATTATACGGAAAATATAAAATCGAATCTTACCATAAAGTCGCGCGCAAGACAATTAGTAGCAGTGCAACCAAATCACTTGCGCTGGGATTCCGTGCGCAACTCACTCTGTTGCGCGCGAAACCTACTGCGGCAGAATGCTCGAAACCCTAAACCTAATCATTCCCTATAAATACGAGCTTAAACCGAGGCTTAAACAGACAGAAAATTAACCTAAAACTCTGGCGAAATACTTGTGAACTTGTGCAACCTAGCCCCTCTTGTCCTAAACACTCACCCTTTTGATATCTTGTTACTACGGTGGAGGTTCCCCAACAAGAAGGAGTCTATAAGTGTTCTAAACAGAGATCTATTAAAGAGAAGTTGTAAATTCCCGATCACTTAGTTAAATAACATTAATTTTTTTGTTTAAAAGGACTTTAATTAATTAATTAGTGTTGTTTGATCACCTTTAAAATAATTAATTAATCAATTTCACATAGTATCACTTAAGCCAAGGCGAATATTGTTTATTTTCTTGTTCTTTTAACGAATTTGATTAAATAAGAATAACGACATTACGATGTAATTCCTACGTGAATTAATGTTTGTAAATAAAATCAACTAACATAGTTTTAGGTATCCCGTTGTATATATTTTTTGGTGATGAAATTGTAAAAAAGGAAGAGCTAGTAGAGGCCGCACTAGGGCTAGGATAACGATTCCCCTCTAAAAGGAACATTATTTTAGTACCCTCGCTCCCAAACTCATTTCTGGTTTATAGACCAATTTTGGCATGGGTAAACTTATGATTCGTGCTAATTATTCCATGAACTCCACATGGAAGAAAGGCATGAACGAGGTTTATGAGTTTTTCCTAAAACTCATTGGCGACTCCTACTTGTTTCTTACAAAAAAGCGTAATGATAGAATAAATTTTAATTCAAGGTTCCCCAAACAGTTAGGAATTCAAATCCTACTACACCCTAAGAAGTGTAAAGTCCTAGGCTTTTAAGTGGCCAAGGGCATTTAAGGAGAGTACCCCTTACGATGGGATCACCCTCCTTACACTTTATCAGCAGGTCCCTGACAAAGGTGTTCAGGGGAAAGTGGAGCCCGTATTGCAACTACGGAGTGTACACCCCCACATATCCAGGGGGTGGACGATGAATCCTATCTATTGCAGTGGGCATTCGGCACCAATACCCATCCTCTTCGAGAATGTCGTAGTACAGCTCAATCTGTTCGACGAAGTGGAAAGCTTCAGCCTTCCTGACCCACCAAGAGTAGGGAGCATTCCTCATAGGGATGGAAAACGGATCAGAACGGGTCGGGTTCGTGTTCGAGTCAGCTGATTTCGGGTCAGCAGACCCCCAACCCGAACCTGATCCATTTAACTTTTCGGGTTGAGAACCCTAACCTGAACCTGATATTTTCGGGTTCGGGTCAACCCGAAAGTAACCTGTTTTTTTTTTTAATCAGGTTTTGACTTGAAAATTACTTGAAATTAACCCAAAAGTAATCTGGTTCGACATGGTTTTTTGTTTGGGAAACAAATTGATATTTTAATCCCACCTAATAAATTCAAACTGATATTCTACGGCAAAACAGCGAAATAATACAGCCATAAAAATAAAGAAACTAGCCTAATTAACAATTAATACAACATACAAAAAGTCCAAAATAAAGTCTACACTAAAATACAAATTAGAATTTGAAATCAACAAAAAAAAATTGATGAACATGTGAGGAACTGAGGATCTGAAGCTTTGAAGGAGAGGAATAGAGGAATGTGTATGCTATATACTCGTCACTCTTAGTCTCGTGGAGCGGTGGAGGAGCTGAAGAACTGATGACGTGAGGAATTTGATGAAGATCTAAGGAATTGAGTATGTTTGAGAAATTAGAAATGAGGATGAGAGAGAAACAGTTGCAATATGAAAAGTATCACAAATTCACATTAGGATTTTAGGGTTTAGTTTTATAAGGTGGCTTGCTTTGGGCTTGGGCTTTGATTCACTTATTTCGTTTTTCAGGTTTTGTTAAGCTTTTTTTAATTTTTTTTTGGTTTTCACGTATACTCTGTATTAGTTTAGGTTATCATGCCGAAAATATAATTTCGGGTTAAGTGGGTCGTTTTCGGGTTGAAATTTTCAACCTTAACCTAACCCATTTAATTTTCAGGTCGGGTTCGTGTCGACCCATTTAAGTTTTCGGGTCGAAAATCTCAACCTTAACCCGTTATTTTCAGTTCAGGTCGTGTTTTCGGGTCGGGTCAGCTTTTGCCAGCCCTAATTCCTCACCATGGCCGAGATGGCCCCAACGTTCTCCCATTCAACAGCCCATTAGGGCAGATGCTAGAGTACGATAGCTTCTCCTTCCTCCTCTTGCCCGGAGGTGCTCGTGGGCTCCTCCCCACGGGGCTGCGCCGTAGAAATTGGCACCGCAGGGATTCCTCCTGGGACTTGCCGATTGTTCCCCTCACCCTGGGTATTCCTGACTCGGTCCCTCAGATGGGGTTTCCTGGGCAATCGGCCTCCGCGTTCTCTACCTCTAACCATGGTTGTGGGTCGCCGGAAAATAGAAGAGAAATC